TTATTCTTATTAATAATATAATAATAGTACTTATTTACAAAGTATATAGTAGAGAGAGAGTTATATAATATTTATTTATTTTATTTCTAATATATATCTTTTTATACTAAATTAATTCTAAACTATTCTAGAAATAATTTACTTAAAAATAGTACTTAACTACTTACTAGAACTACTACTCTTAAAGAGAGTAGGTACACGCTTAGAAGAAAAGTTTAAGAAGAACTAGTAAGATTTATACTTATTCTCTTTATTCTAGAAAAAAGTATAGTTTAAATTTATTAGAAATAATTCTAAATTATTTTAGAAATAATCTAAATAAAACTTACTATAAATAAAGTTTATATCTAAGCTATTAATATTACACGCCTAGTAAAGAAGGTTATCTTTAGCCTAATTATTATAATAGTCTCTAACTATATTAGTTATAGTAGTAAAGTTAAGCTATAAAAGTTAGAAATAATTTAGAAATATTTAAGAAATAATTTATCTATTCTCTCTCTAAATTATTAACCTAAATAATATTCTAGAAAGAGTGTTTTTAGTTTTTTTAGTCTTTCTTCTCTTTTTTATTATCTAGTGTAGTAGTAAAGTTCTTAAAATTATTATAGTCTAAATTATTTACTAATTAATCTAACTTATAGTTTAAATTACTTAATAAATAATTTAACTTAAACTTATTATTAGATTCTACCTAAGCTAGGTTAGTAAAAGAGGTAGAAGAGTTAGTAGAGAAGATAGTAAAAGAGTTAGTAATAGTATTATAAGTAGCTATAGTCTAAATATAGAAACCTAGATTAAATTAATTAAAAATTAATTAAAAAGTAATTTAAATAAACTTACTTATCTTAGCTTAGATTAAAGCGTTAGTAAAATTTTTAACTTACTTAGTAAACGCTATTTTTAGCTAGTAAGCTTAGCGTAAGTAGTTTCTAAGCGTAGCGTAACTAGTATACTTTTACTAAAAAAAATATTAGAAATAATTAAGAAATAATTTAAAAATAGTTTATACTCTATAAAGAATTCTATTTTAGATTTTAATATAGTAGTATAGCTAACTTATATAGATAATTAGCTTATTCTATATATTAGTAGTAAAAGGTAGGTACTTAAATAAGTATTAGTTAAGCTAAAGAAATTACTTATAAGTAAGCTAAATTTATTAAAATTATTTATAGATTAATCTAAAAATAGTTTATATATTTTCTTAGAAAATACTTTAAATTTAGTAAGCTATTATAAGTAGCGTAGTTTAGTAGAGAGATTTAGTAAAGTTATATTATTATTATTTAAGTAGAATTATTCTAGAAATAATTTATAATTAATTTACTAAGGCGCTACTTTAGCGTGCGCATTAACTACGTATAAATGCCTTAGCATGCTATATCTTAGCGCGCCCTTAGTTAGATAGCCTGCATCCTACACGTTGCCTGACTATCGCTATTTGCATCATGATTAGGTTACATCCACCAGCCGACAAAGAGCCGCTCAGACCACCGCAAGACCAACCAGCAGACGGCCACTACACACCACAGCCTCGTGGCGACTCTTCAAGGCTTCACGACAGACAATGCACTAAAATCATCGCGCATAGTAGTTGTATTGAACATTCTGCGTTCTGACATGGTGTGATCAAACTAGCACCGTCTGTCCACGTCAATACTTCCAAGCCTTGGTACCCAACGATCGCCAGAGATGAGCGGCAGATTTGTCACAAGTCCTCCAATCGACCCCTCCATCCCAAACAAGTAGGCTACTAACGCATCTAGAGTGTCGTCGCGGAAGCCGGAAGCAGGTCTTGCAGTAGGCGTGCTTGTAGTATGTAACTCCTACATCTGCCACGACACTGAGTGCAGTCAAGCACCCTAATCCCCTTTCAACTGCGGGCACAACTGCCTGTGGCCCTTCTTCCAATCTTTCTTCTGACAACCTTCAGAACAGTAGCGAGCCAATTTGCACCCACCGCATCTGTCTAAACCCCCACCCTTCTCGTGGCGCTCAGCACCGCACTCCCAACAGGTGCCTTCCTTCTCACCAAGGTCTACCAAACGAGGCTCAATTTTATCCACAGGTGCTTGAGCTTGAGGCTTTGCTGGAGGCTTTGCTGGCGGCTTCGCAGGAGGTGAGGGCGACGGTAGAGAAGCAGGATTATCGGTGTTGATGGGTGACGCGAAGATGACTGGAACTGCGACACGAACGGCGTGTTTGAGAAGATCCTTAGACTGCTTGAGATCCTTGAGGTAGTTCGCGGGGAAGACGCCGTAGCCACAAGTGCACATGTAGCGCTTGTCGGGATCGGCCGAGATTGGAATGCATCCCGCGACCTTGTACTCGCATGTTGGCTTGTGCTGCCACTGGCGGCATCGCTCGGCAAACCCCGGTAGTATATGCTTCCAGAAGGCAACTTCATCTTCCTTCATCTTGATGCAGTTTATCTTGTCGCGACGAGCTTGAAGCAAGACAACGAGTGGCGCTATGTCTGCGCTCGCGTAGCAGGGGATGAATGCGGCATCGGCGAGAAGAGACTGGTTTGAGACATCCATACGGACTGAATCGACATAGAGTATGCCGAAGTACGACGATGGAGTACATAATTGGAAGATGTTTGTTTGAACTTGACCTTCTGCCCCAATAAGGTGGGCGTAGATACTTTGCAGGGTCTCTTTCACACCAAGGCGTCCGGGCATGGTTGATGACTCGTCAGCGTTGAACTTCTTGTAAGCTCGCAGCTCTCCTGCCGACATGGTAACTACGGGGGAAGCATGCAAGCTGATCCACTTGGTGTACGAGGACTGCTGGCCAAGATTGAGCTTGGGCAAAACATTGGGTTGAACGTAATGTAGTTGTTCGAGAGAGACTCCATAACTAAGATATGTTAGTCAATGCAATGCAATACCCGCGAGTCACTTACTACTCATTAAGATGGACAGGTATCATGGTGTCTGGGCGCCGGAACATTGCTGCTTCACTCTGCACGGCAGCCGTGTACTCTATCCAAAGCGATTTGCGGGCGATCTTGGTCTTGGCGCTGGCCGCGTTCGGTGGGAAAGGAAGTGTTACATCCATTCGATACGTCTTCCCAATGAAGAGCCGTAGTGTGAATGCCGTCGTAAGCTCGAACGAGACGACGGCTCCACTCTGCAGAAGCTCTTTTGCCTTCCCTGAATCAACAGCGTAGTGGACTCGCAGTGATTCGACTTCGCTCCTGCTGCTACTGATGAGCGGATGTATGGTAGCGATGACGTCGGACACTAGACCTATGTTAGCAAAAGTTGTGATGGGAGATATGTTCAACATACCATGAGTCGGCTTGGACGTGGCAACCTCGTTCACGGAAACGAAACCTTGGAAGCCTGGGCGGTATCGCGTCACAAAGACATCTTTCTGACCAACCGCAGATCGATGCACGTGCAACATCATGCCAAATATGGATGTAAACTGCTGCTGAGCTGCTGGAGTGCTCTTAAGTCCGAAGACGACGCCACAAGCATCGTCCTTGTATTCGGTGAGGGTACAGGTGGAGACCATAGCGGACACGATCAATGGCGACTTGCCCTTCCAGCCTTTACCATCTTCTCGGACCGTTACTCCATAGTCATTCGTGAACGCGGTTCCAGAAGTCTCGATCGATCCGAAACCCATCTGTATATCCGTGTAGAGAGCCTCCTTCTGACTGACTGACGAACTGAGCTGGAGTTGGCATAAGGGAGTACCATGGCCGTTGGCGAGGTCGCCGAACATCGAAACCTTAGCGTAGGGAACGACAAGCGTAACGCACATGAGTGTCGGGATGTCCTCCCATTTGCAGAATGGGCCGCCTAGTTCGAAGGTTCGCGGATGCCACCAATCGAAATGATCTTCTATCTTCCACACCCCGAGCATGTCAAGGTGCACGAGGAGAGACTGAAAGTTATGTGGACCCATGTTCAAGGTTCTGTCGTTCATGATGCCTATCACGACCAGAGTTTGCATAAAGGGGGACCAGTCAACGACGTTGGACACCTTGATATGCTGGAGCAGTGACACGAAACCTGCTCGGGTATAGAGTTCATACGCAGTAAGCTTCTTCTGCATCAGCTCGGCGTTGCCTAAGCCTAGCATAGAGAAGCGATTAGCCCATCCTTCATCCTGGAACATTTTCAGATAGATAGACAGAAGCAGTCTAGCTAGCTCAGCCGCATCGTAACGGACGTTGGAAGTATTGAACGGCTTCCAAAGCACGATTGGCCGAGACGCTGCTGCAGTGAGCATGTCCATCTTGTCGAGATCAGGGAAATTGGAAGGGTTCCAATACCAAACGGAAGTCGCATTCGTCCAGTGTTGAACGGGTTTCAGACCGAGTAGTAGAGCCACCATCGGAAGATGTCCACATAGTAGGGCTTTGGCTGAAGCTGCCACGTCGATTTCGGATGGTATTAGCATCTCCGTCCGGAGGATGGACGACGCATTTTGGCGAATCAATGACGCGGTTGCAGCAAGAATGTTGAGACAGCCCACATGGTCGAGCAAATTGGAAGTGTCAATGACATCGAAAGCCGTCGGTGCAGATCCGCCTTTTTCGTATTCAGCGGCGTCCAGGACCAGTGGGGTGTACGTCCACATGTTGCGATACCAATGAGCCGTGCGCGACTCGCCGTGTACATGTTGATGTTGGAGAACGTGACAGAACCCGACAGCGTCAGAGTTGACATAGCGAATGGTGATACGCGTGGATGCTTTCCTGAACGCGATGCACCAGGCAGATAGCTGATCGAGCGCCACCTGCATGAACTTTGGCACCTTCCCCTTTGTGGTCTCGCTCGGTACGAATAAGGGCGAGTCTACGGAGAGTCGAGCATGCGTAGGCGCAAGGTGAAAACCAGTGAGCGGACTGGTACCGTAGTGAAGAACAAGGCCACTACGATGGCAAACGAACATGGGATTGGCGATCGAGAGTTTCTTGATGGTCTTGTTGTCCTCGAGACATGTACCACTCTTCCAATATGTCTGATAGGCTTTGCCGGCATCCGCAAGGCCTTGAATCATGAGCGGGGCGAATGCGCGAATGCCGTCTCCCACGAACCCCATACCAGCCTTTCCTGTCTGTAGTTGCTTGGCAGCCTGCCATTGACCTTTGAGAATATCTTGCGTCTCCTTGTACGTGTCGTCTTTCTCGGGTTCCAACGCATACAGCGCCCAAAGCTTAGTCGCATTCTCTAGTGTGATGCTGTCGCAAAATCGGATGATCGTACCGTACGGACCTTCATTCCAACTCTCCAAGGAATGTGCAAGTTCCAAGAGTTTCTTTGACTGAGATCGCAGAAGACTGGCAGATTCGTCGTCAATGAAGACATGATAGTAGAGGTTCCATAGCTGTCGGACAAGGGCACCTTCCGCGTCGTCAAGGATGAGTGTCAGTGCTAGTACATTGCGCGCAATGATCTCCGCCTCAAGGTCGCAACATGTGAAATCGAGCTTTCGGTCGTCTGCGCTTTAGTCAGTATGAGCGAGAGTAAATCAAGGTCGCGTCCCAGCACTCACCAGCCCCGGCTCCACTGTAGGTAGTGAAGAGGATGTTGCGGATATCTCCACAGCCGAGAAGGAGCAGGGCGGCATTTTGTTCGGGTGGTAGGGCTTGCGTCAAGCACACAGCTGGAGTGTTGCCGACGGGATAGAAGAACGGCCCCTGGGCGATGTGGACTGGCTTCAGCGACATCTTGCGAGCTGTGTAGAGAAAAGACTCAGAGACGACGGAGCGATATATGTGTCGAAAATGGTTGTTTGCTCAAACCTGCGTTTAGCTGCGGCTAACCGATTTGGGACACTCGGTCGCCATGTTCCCTTTCACCAGACGAGTAATAGAGATCATTTGGTTATTTGGACGCGGCAGCGCGCTGTCGCGTCACACAACGTTAACATATCCTCACCGCTGGCATGTATACATACTCCCAGAATGATCGATACTCTTTTGCTGTGCATGTATGCGAGCAATTTTTTTTTGGCGAAATCGCAACTTCTCCATCTGAAAAATAGACAAGCTGATGAACTGAAAGGATTGTGACGATGGGAAACAGGTACGGAAATAACATCACCTGCCGGTCCTGCAAGCCGCGACACGTGAGCAACGGTTTTTCTAGTTAAAATTCCCATGCTAATAAACCACCTTCATGTTAGTCCGTATGGGTGAGCGCACAATGGTGTTTCTATCAATCCATGGATGTGATAGAGTCGCGTTGACGTCATGTCCAGACCGCCTGCATCAGCATCGTTGAAGTCCATTCTCAAAGTCAAGCTCTATGATAGCTCGCGTCGTACGGGCCAAGCTGTCGAGATGATGTCGCGCGATCTTTTGACGAGAGCATGATGTTGGCAGATTGTAGAGGGCAGCTGTGAAGTTTGACGCGTCCCATGGCGAGGCTGAAAGGCGCGCCCGCCGTCTAGCGCTCCACGCACGTGGGGGCCTCTCTCACCGGCTGTCATTGGCCGATTGCAGGTAGCACACTCACGCAACACCGTTTGGACGTTGCAGCGACGATACCCGTCGCATGCCAATGGGAGATATGCGAAATAAGAGACAGGCGCGTACAAATGCATGCAGAAATTACATCGAGAGCAGATGATGTCCTGTTCCAATCGTACCTCGGTACTTTCTCCGCGATTGGACACTCTCGTCCTCCCATACCCATCAACTCCATCACACATCCATCGCTTTACCCATTTTACAGCTTTTCGCATTTACTGTCTTACTCATCTAGCTTCCCGACTACATGTCCTTCCTCCTCCACGGCAGCACAGGACACACAGGCATGGGCTGGGTCGATCTCGTCCCTCGAGCGGGTAAACTCTACATCGGCGGCCTCTACGCCTTATACCAAGGCGACTTGATAGACAAAGCGGGCATAACGCACGTTCTATCTGTGATAGACTATGACCCTTTATTACAGGAGAAATTTAGGCATTTGAAACAGGTAACGTGGAATGATTGTCAAGACTCAGCTCATGTATTTGTACTAACCGACGGTTTAGTATGCATTGCATTCGTTGTGAGGGTGGTGTCTCTCTTACTAATATAATCTTCACTTAGTTTCCACATCCGCTCAGAAGACCATCCAAACACCAACCTGCTTCAAGACTTCACCCCCGCCGTCCAGTACATTGACTCGGCCCTCAATCATGAAAAAGGCGGTGTATTCATCCACTGCGCAATGGGAAAATCTCGGTCCGCAACACTCGTCTGCGCATACTTGATTTGGAAGTACAACATCACCCCTGCCGCAGCGTTGGAGCAGCTATGTGAGGGACGACCGGTGTGCGACCCGAATCCAGGGTTTAAAGAGCAGTTGGAGGTGTGGGGGGAGATGTGTGGGGTTAGTGGCGAGGCGCAGAAGAGGAATGTGTATGAGGCGTGGGAGAAGGATAGATTTACGGGGGAAGTCTGGGAATGGGAAGCTCGCTTGGATAAAAAGCGAGAACAGCAGTCACAGGAAAGCGTGGCGAGGTCAAAGTTGTAAGATCAGATCATAAGAATAACAGTTATCATGACGTCTAAGTAAGGTGTGGCAGGGAAGAACAATACGTAGCAATGCCACCTCTTCTACCCGAAGCAAGGGGACGGCCCTTTCCCAGACCTGCATACTGCATCTAGGCATTCCAAGGCTTCGATTGGCCCTTCTTGGGCTTGTAGCACTGCAGCCACTCGCTTAGCGCTTTCCTGAACAACGTCCGACTAACGGGTCCATCGGGCACGGTAGAACCCGTCGTCCTGAAGTCGTAGCAATGCTGCGCGTCCTTGAGGACTAGACCAAAGAGCTCGTTCCTGCTCGTCTTCACTCCACACTTGGGTACGTCCTGGATGACTTGGACGCCCTTGGGCGCAAAGGGCTCAGCGGAAGCGGGGGAGAGAGTGCGCCAGGGATCGAATTCACCGTTGGACCAGTAGGTGTTTGAAGGACGGATATCCCAGCCTCCGAAGATCTTGTTGGTGCGGGCGGTGTTTGGCCACTCAGGGAAGAGCGACTTGGGAGCGTTGGGGAATTGGCGGTGGCAGATGTCCTTTTGGTGTTCAAGCGAGTTGTACTTGGAGACGAGTTGCTGGGATCCTAGGTTGGCGGATTGGAAGTAACCTGGTGGGTAAATTAGTATTATGCAAGGAGGGAAGTTGGGTTTGAGAGGACGAAGACTTACCCCACTGTGTGCAGTATTGCCACGTCCAAGCAATCGAAGCGGGATCTGTGAACCTCTGGTTCAGGTCACAGTTACCGGTCACGTTCAACTTGCCCGAGCACTCGGTTTCCAAGTAATCATTCGTGTTGTTGGCAAAGACAGGGTAGCTCGCCCATCGATCAACCGTCCATTTCGCACCCTTGCTCTTGGACCAGCCCTCCGCGGGAGCTGTAGTGTTCGTCTTGGGGTCCTTCTCGAGGTAGTCGCAGAATTGACGGAGACCCAGAGATCCACCTTCCATACCGTAAGACTGCCATAGGTAGAAGGGAGTCGTAAGAGCATCGGCAAAGGTTGGGTTAGAGTTGTTGGCAGCTCCAAGTCCAAGGAACTGCTCCTTGAGCTTGGCGGTTGCTCGTGAGTCTGTATCCATGATGTTGTCAATGTAGTTAACAGCAGCATGTACATCCTCCGAGCAGTTTCCGAAGCCCTTGGCATGCATACCGCGCCAGATAGGTGAGAAGTAGAAGCTTTGGTCAACGGAAGCTTCGACGGGAGCTGAAGAGGCCCAAGACGCGTGGATAGTGTCGGGGTACAAGTTGCGCATGAAAGCGGCCCTCATACCGGGGTACGAGCCACCAACGAAAACCCAGGGAGTTTTGTCGGGTGTGAGCGTAGCATTGACACCCTTCCTGCTGAACTGCCTAGCAAAGGCGTCGACATCTTTAAGCGACTGCTCCGTGTTCAGGAACTCAAATGCCTCGGCTGGCGTGTTGAGGTCGATAGGCGTGGGTGTTGAGTTTCCGTAAAAGCGGTGCTCGCATACGATCCCAATACCGTTATAATCATCGACCAGCTGCTTGAAAAAGCTGGTTTCGTTCAGCAGCCGGGTCAGCGCACCCGGCTCTGCATCTGCCTCGCCCGTGTCGTAGAGGAAAACGGGACCGCCAGGCTTGTACGCATCCATGTTGACCCAGTACCTGTTGAAGAATGTGCCGTGGTACGAAGGATCCTGGCCTTTCTTGTAGGCGAAGTGGTCCAGTGGCAGCTCGACATATTCTGGAGTGATGTTTCTGAGCGGCGCGGCAGCCAACACAGCCGGGCTGTTTGACGTAGTCGCAACCCTGAGGGATTTGAAAGCCGTGGCATCCAAAGCGCTGTTTTCGGCGTCGTCCGAGAAATTGACCATGGCCGAGCCATCTGGATTCATGCCCATATCGGCAAGTAGATTAAGCTTGCGCTGAATGGCCGCATTCAAGGCGTTGGTGCCCTGCAACAGGGCGAGGGCAACTGCCGCGACGGAGACCGAGGACCGCATGTTGAGAATGAACGAAGTAACGATGCGTGGATAGGATCTGTTGTACCCGGATTACCTCCGCAAGAGATCCGCGCGAGTGAGGTACAGGTGTCGGGAGAAGTGCGAAGATGTTCTTCTGCGCAGCTTCGGTACCAAGGTTGTCAGACACACAGCCAAATCGACGGCACAGACCACGACAGCGACTCAAGGACGAAAGAACGGCGTAGAGATCCATCTTCGCCATTCTCAGGCCGCCCATATATACATAGCTAAGTTCGACGCTATACCGTTTTGCCGCCCATCCTGCGGCCCTTGGTAAGGGCCATAGGATCATCGGCTGCAAGGCTTACCGAGTCATTAAACTCAACGCCTATTAAACCACGGATGGCACCGAAAAAAGCTTAGGAGATCTGTCGTGCTTGTCTGTACCGCCAGCTCCAAAGCAGAAGGAGGTTTACGTAGTGACCAAGCGCAGTGGATCGAAGTACAGAAGCTTATCGGGCTTGGTGCTCGAATGGAAGGTCAATTGGTGGGGTCGTGCCAAGTAGTCAAGTCGGCTTCCTACTTTAGCCTAGGTGGCACGGGTTAGTGCTGCTGCTAGATTGATGCGCGCACTCTCCAGGGTCCGCACTGTAGCACCGAGGCGACGGGTGGCGGGCAATTTACCTGGGTGAGGTCTGGACGGAGAGTAGATCTTGTGGCGATGATTACGGCCGACCCGTGGATGTTCGCAGGAAGAGAAGGCATGGTTTGTGGAAGTATTGTTATCAGACAGGCTACGACAGAGAAGGGCCTACTTCGATATTATCATTATCTTCATTGTTTCGACTGCAATGGTCCTTTGTTTGCAACTCGGCAAATATCCAGTATCCCTTCAACAACAACACATCTATCCCTTGCTGACCAACATCAGCCGGTCGTCGTGTCGTGTCCAGCCGTTCGTTATCCGAAGAACGGAATCTGGCCTCCAACCGAAGTATTATACATAAGAAAAGATCTTGCAATTAAAATTACCAAACACATGCAGCTCGCAGAGAGCCGCTTCATATCCATACATTAACCCCACAAAGTGTTCCAGATGCCGGGTATCGAAGGTTGCCACTACGCCGGACCATAAAGATCAAATACCCATGTAGATTAGCCGAAGGTACACAGCCTTCTATATGCCATGTGTCGTGTTTCCCAGCTCAATGTTGAGCCATGTGGCTGCCACCAGTCGCGGCATTCGGGAATGCGATATCTGGCCAATGGCTGGGAGC